TTGTTGACTTTGGTCAGGTGAGGCTCATGGGACCAGCATTGTTGCAGCGGCGCACATGCATGGCTGGCCAGCGCTGTGTCCTGGAAGATCTGAGCCTGGGCGCAGGCACGACAGCGACACCACAGGACACCGTGATGGTTCTCGATACTTGCGCTCATATCACACCGATTCCTGGCTGGCCTGAGGCTGGAGTCGTTTCCAGTCTTGAGGCAAGTGGTGCCAGACTGAGCTATGGTGCAGTCACGATCACAGCAGCAGCGGGGTACTACCGACTTTGTTGGTGCGCAGCTGGTCGACAGTGCAGACAGGGCGAGGAGTTTGTGACGATTGGCGAGATTGCACTACTCGGCCCAGCGCCTCTCAGCCAAGACAGGACATGCCTAAGTGGACAGATGTGCGACCTTGGGAGTGTCCATGGCTTAGGGCTTGATCCGTATAAGCTGTCCCACGTGTCAGGCTTGCAGTTTCTGCAAGATGCCACCACAGGCCAGCATGATGTGAGAGACTACTTTGTGGAAGCTTCTTATGATTTTGATGTGTCCAATGCAGCCGGGGCCACGTGGACGACGATTGCAACATGTGCCGCAGCACAAGACAGCACTTGGCAAAGCTGCGACTGGCCGACGGCAATCTCCGCACCGTTCTGGCGTTGGCGCATCACTCAGACCTGGGGACTGAGCTCAGACCCCCCGAAGCCACGTGAGCTTCGCTTCTTCAGTTCTGCAAACCTCAGCACAGCCCCCCATAAGAGTTTCACGCAGTGGGCCTCGGACTTGTCCCCAGCTTGGATAGTGTCAGCGACTGCAACTGGTACTCCATACCAAGACTTGTCGAACCCCTCGATTCCAATAACCTACGGACCAGAGAATCTTATGGATGGAGACGCTTCTGACAACTCGCGTTGGTGGCCCACGGGAGCAAGCTCAGAGTGGTCTGTTGTTTTTGACCTACGCCAGAGTGACAGTTTGGCCGTACTGGACACATGTGGTGTTGCTTCGGCTCATCACCTTGGCTTTGTGACAGCGCTGGCAAGCCCAGCGTCGTACCCAACGTACGGAAGTACGCTCTTGACAATCGCTGGAGGCTTATATAGACTGTGCTGGTGCAGCCGTGGTTTCAACTGCGACTTGCCCAATGCTTTCGCTGTTGATATTGGTGCTGTGTCGCTGCTGGGTCCGGAGCCTTTGACACAACACCGAACCTGTGTCTCCGGGCAGAGCTGTGTCATCGAAGACATCAGCGTGCAGGAGGCTTCAGGTGTACTCCAACTTCTGGATACTTGTGGTCAGGGCTTCACCTACTCGCAGTTGCACGGATGGTCGGGCAGCTTTGCGCAGTGGAATGAGACTGGAACTGTTCTCCCAAGACTTGTTCTGGATGCAGGATTTCTGACAACAGCAGGTGGAGAGTTCAGGTTGTGCTGGTGCGCATCACTTGCCAAATGTGCTCATCCGGAAGATATGCGTGTGGACGTTGGTTCCTTCACGGTTGTAGGCGTAAGCCCACTCGCACAGGATCGCACCTGCGTCAGTGGTCAAACATGCTCCTTTGATGGAATCACCGGCCGCTACTTGAAGTCATCCGATCAGTTGCTGATACTTGACACTTGTGGCCAGCAGGTGCCCTCCGAATTCCTTCCGAGCATCAGTCTGGCAATTGCAATCTCGGACCCCTTGGCAACGGGGCCTGATCAGACCCTTCGAGCAACCACTGCACCTCGTCTTGTCATTGGCCAAGGAGGAGAGTACAGGATTTGTTGGTGTGGTGGTGGGTTCAAGTGCACTTCCACGCAGGACTTCCGGACGGATGTAGGGCACTTCAACATTGTTGGGCCATATCAGCTGCAATCTCGGACCTGTGTGAGCGGACAGCTATGCAGCCTCGGAGGGATTCAGGGTCATCTGCTGTCGCCCTCGGATGGTCTGCTTGTGCTCGACACTTGTGGAGTGCAGGTGTCGGTGCCTCGCCTACCCAACTCAGGGCGCATGGAGGTGTCACTGACATGCCAATGCGCCGCAGCAACGGGAGACTCCGACCTCGATGGCATTCCAGACTGTTTGGACGAGTGTCCTCTCGATGCCAACAGAACGACGGCCGGTGTCTGTGGATGCGGCGTTGATGATGTCGACTCCGACCTCGATGGCGTGCCTGACTGCCTAGATCACTGTCCGCAAGATCCGAGCAAGTCCAAGTCAGCTGGCCTCTGCGGATGCAACGTGCCAGAGACAGACTCAGACATGGATGGGCTTCCAGACTGCCAGGATTTGTGCCCACTTGATGTGAATAAGCAAAGGCCTGGGATATGCATTGGGCCGGAGTGGTTGGCCATGGAGAGCCTGGCCACACACCAGTCCTCAACTCAATTGAGCAGAATGTCCCAGCTGGCCGTCGATGCGGCCACAAGCGCGAATTTCCATCACGGCAGCTGTACCCTCACAAATGCAGAAAGCAACGCATGGTGGTATGTGGACCTGGGATTTGGATTTGACGTGAAGGCCGTGAGGATTACCCCACGCACCGACTGCTGTGCTGGCAGTCTCCTGGGAGTTGAAGTTTGGGTGACCTCAATCAGCATCTTGGCAGATCTTCTGTCAGAGAGCGCGAGAGAGCGCTGTTCTTGCACGACTGAACAACCCAGACACATGGCTGCGCATACCCACGTCGGACCAAACATGATCCCGGTGCCCTGCCGGTGCCGAAGCCTTCACTCACTCTCACACACACACACACACACAGACACTCTCTCTGTCTCGCTGTCTCTCTCTCTCTCTCTCCCTCCCTCCCTCCCTCCGTCGCTCTCTCTCTCTCTCTCTCTCTCTCTCTCTCTCTCTCTCTGTGTCTGGAGATTCCTCTAACGCACAAGCAGTTCAAAACCAAACACGAAATCAAGCTTGCTAAAAGCAAATTCGAGAACTGAGCGAGAGACGTGAAGAAAATTGCCCTCGAGCTCAAGCTTTGCGTTGGAGCCCTTACTGGTGGAAGAGAGGGCACGGGGCAAGGCCAGATCAGGCCTCAGAGGAATCGGAGCCAGGACAAGACAGGACGATCATTCGGAAAATATTGGGCTTTAGAGTTTTCATGGAGGTGCAACGCGACCAAGGAATCCAAGGTTCGGCTAGCATGAGAGACGACTTCTCCTCTTTGCCGAAGGAAAGAGAGAAGGGGGAGTGCAGCGAGCTCTCACTCCCCTCAAAAGCCCAATACAGGCGGGTGAGGGGGCTGGACTCGCCCTCTAGTCCCTATGCCTTGGAGAAGAAGAAGAAGAGTGCAGCGAGAGCGATAGAGCGAAAGACCGACCGAAACGTAAACCAAGCTGCAGCCAAAGAACGATGAGGGCAAGCTAGCAGCGACAGAGCGAAACAAGAGAAACAGCAGTGAGCAGAAAGTTGATGAAGCACGCAACATAAAGAGAGCAGCAAAGCCAGACAGACAAAGAGACAAAAGAGGAGACAGGGAGAGAAGCCTTGCCCTGGGAAGGCAGGAAGGTCGCGAGGCTTTAGTTGGGATCTGTAGGATTCGAGGGGTCTGCGGGAACGGAGGCTCCAGACACTTCTTGCATTCCGGAGAGAAAGGTGAGAAGGAAAGGACGAGGAGATCTAGACAGAAGGGCCGGCCCAAACAATTGTGTTCCTTTGTGGATGGACCATGGTCAGCTCAGGCGCCTTGACATACAGCGATGGCGTGTGGTGCGCAAACATCACTCAACAGCCTGCCCTTCCAGCACTGGGCCAAGATGCTCCGGTCATCGACGTATCTTGCCAGGCTCAGGGTCAGCTGATCTGGCTGGTCATGCCCGGCGCCGAGCTCTCCCTCTGTGATGTCAAGGTTTTTGCAGAGCCGGCAGTCAGCCTTTCCTCAGCTTTCCCTGGAATCAGCGGCACACACTACGAGTCGACGAGCAACTGCTTGGCCACCGGCCTAGGCAGTGCCTGTGGCTGTGGACTCCTGGACACAGACACAGATGGTGATGGTGCCCCCGACTGCATCGACCAGTGCCCCAATGATCCACTGAAGTCACTTCTTGGCACCTGTGGTTGTGGTGAAAGTGAGGATGACAGTGATGGCGATGGCACGAAGGACTGTATCGACCAATGCCCCTTAGATCCTTCGAAGACCAGGGCCGGCATTTGTGGTTGCGGCGTCCCTGAGACGGACGACGATTCGGATGGAACCCCGAACTGCAACGACAATTGCCATGGGCTGCAAGACTCGCTCGGCCCAGGGAGCATTCCCTGCGGCTTCATCGCCGGCTTGGATTCCGACAATGACGGCACACTGGACTACCAAGATTTCTGCCCCTATGAAACTTGGCACGCAGCCAGCAACGTCCCAACTTTAACAGTAACACTCTTACATGGCCCATCACTACAGGTGTTTCCCTTACATGTCTTGAGAAGCTTTAAGATTGCTCAGGATCCATCGAAAACAAGTCCCGGACAGTGTGGTTGCCAAATTGTCGATGCTGATGGGAGTCCGACAGCCACCATTACGATCAACACAGGTGGGAGCGCTCAAATTTGTTCAAACCGCTTAGCCTAAGCTGAGAACTCACTGAACTAACTTTCATATGCTTTCATAAGCTCGGTTTTGGTTTTTGGGCACGATATGCTGACTGCAGGGCTTACAGAGCTGGATTCGGATGCAGACGGTGTTGCCGACTGCCTGGATCAGTGCCCCAACGATGCCACGAAGACTGTCCTCGGAGCTTGTGGTTGTGGGTGGCCAAGCTTAAGAAAAGCAGCATCGCTTTGATCTCCGTAGCACATGTGTGATCTGTTCCCGTCGGTTTGTCGGTTCAACTGTCTTCCTGTTGTCACGATTGGCAGCAAGGGGAGTGGGATGTGATAGAGGGCGCTCGACTTGTGCCGAGGCTGCCAGACACGGACACGGACCTGGATGGTGTGCCTGACTGCATCGACCAATGCCCCACTGATGCCAATAAGGTCTTCATAGGGATCTGCGGCTGCGGCCTTCCTGATACCGACTCAGACAGTGACGGGATGCCAGATTGTCTAGACCGGTGTCCCAACAATGCGAATGTCACAGCTCTCAGTGCTTGTGGTTGTGATGACAAAGACAGCGATGGTGATGGCATATTTGATTGTATTGATTTGTGCCCTCAGGATGCTCTAAAGACCTCGGCAGGTCAGTGCGGTTGCAATGTGGCAGATACAGACAGTGACGGAGATGGCGTTCCAGACTGCTATGATTCCTGCCCTGGTGCTCCCGATGTGGCTCGCGACGGCCTCAATCCCAGGTTCGGCGGTTTCGTGACCGCAGCAGGCGGGACCTACAGCTTGTGCTGGTGCTCAGCCAGTTTCGATTGTTCCACACAAGATGCGTTTGTGATTGATGTCGGCTCTCTCACGATCATGGGGCCTTCCCCATTGACACAGCATCGCACGTGTGTCGCAGGCCAGGCGTGCCATGTCGACAGCCTGGAAGGCACCCATCTCAACCCTCAGGATCAAGTTGCAGTGCTCGCCACTTGCGGCGTGCTCACAGAGGTTCGAGGTTTGCCGAACAGCGGTCGTTTCACTTCGAACCTGACCGTTCAAGGATTCGGCTTTGAGAATGTCAGACTTACTGGCCAAGGTGGAGAGTATCGTTTGTGCTGGTGTGCCCACGGCCAGGGATGCACAAAGGCAGAGCAATTCCGCGTCGATCTCGGGCAATTCCAGGTGGTGGGCCCATCGCCGTTGGAACAGAGCTGGACTTGCATCAATGGCCAGACGTGCACTTTGGATTCCTTGACCGGAATGGACTTGGCTGAATACGATCGAGTTGTTGTTATGGAGACTTGCATGGTAAATCAGGTAGGTCGCTACCCGTGGACTGTGTTGCCTTTGGCAACTTCTGCCAGTGGGACCTCTTACCAATTTTCACCGGAGCTTCTCACAGCAGGTCAGTACCGCCTGTGCTGGTGCTCAACGGGAATGAGCTGCAGCACCTTCGAGGACTTTGCCATCGATGTCGGAAGTCTGAATTTGGTAGGACCGTCGCCGCTGCAGCAGGACAGAACATGCGTTGCTGGACAGACCTGCAACTTTGAAGGCTTTTCCTCTTTCGGAAGCTCTGGCATGGGCACGATCTGGATTCTCAGCACCTGCGGTGACGGAGATCAGCTGGAGAGGCTGCCGCAAGCGGGGCAGCTTCATGGCCGGGCCCCGAGACCGTCTTGGGGCTGCAGCGCAGCTGCACTGGACTCCGACGATGATGGCGATCCCGACTACTTGGACTCATGCCCTCTTGATCCTGCGCAGAGTCAGATGGGTCAGTGTGGATGTGGCATCTTAGACACGGACTCTGACGCCGATGGTATTCCAGACTGTTTCGACGCCTGCCCAAGTGATCCAATCAAGTCTTCTCAGGGTATTTGCGGCTGTGGCACAAGCGAGGTGGATTCGGACTCTGATGGCGTGCCTGATTGCATAGACAGCTGCCCCTCAGATGCTGGCAAAGTAGCTCCTGGCATTTGCGGATGTGGGCTTGCAGACAGCGATGACACCGACGGAGACGGCGTGCCGGACTGTGTCGATGACTGTCCAGGGTTCCCTGATCAGACTCCGCCTGTTTGTGGATGCACGGCGGCGAGTGCCGACAGTGATGGCGATGGCACGAACAACTGCTTCGACGGCTGCCCATCCGATCCCGGCAAGGTCGCGCCAGGCACCTGTGGCTGTGGCTTGGCAGATACAGATTCTGATGGTGACGGGACTCCCGACTGCAGCGATGGCTGTCCATCAGATGGGGCAAAGACTACTCCAGGTCAGTGCGGCTGTGGAGTTGCGGACACCGACGGCGACTCTGATTCCGTTGCAGACTGCATCGACCTATGCCCGAGCGACAACAGCAAAGTGGTTCCAGGCAAATGCGGATGCGGTGTGCCGGACACCGACTCCGACAACGACGGAGTTCCGGACTGTTATGACCGGTGCTCTGGCTTGCCTGACTACCGCCGACCAGAGCCGTCGTCGGTGTACACGTTTGGCAGTGCCCCGATATCCAGCGCCGGAGGACTTTATCGATTGTGTTGGTGTTCACCGGATGCACAGTGTTACTCCAAGGACGACTTCACAGTTGATGTCGGCGCTCTGACTGTGATAGGTCCCAGTCTCCATCAGCAGCGTACATGCCTGAGCGGTCGAAGGTGCCGCATTGGCGGCATGGATGGGGCCCTGTTATCCGGAGATGATCAAGTCTTGGTCTTGGACACGTGTTCTCTCTTGCCAGAGCTCGGCGCTAACGTCTCGACGTCTCCTCGCCTGGAATCACAACTGAGCAGGTACAACGGCTCAGATCTGGCTGCCTTCGCTTCGACCGGCCCATTACAGCTAGCAGGGGGCACGTATCGGCTTTGCTGGTGTGCAGAAGGTTTCACTTGTTCCAGTTTGGCTGACTTCGTGGTCGACTTTGGCAGCATCCTGGTCATTGGCCCAAAGATGTTGCGCGAGCAACATGCAACATGCTTTACAGGGCAAACCTGCAGCTTGTATGAGATCGTGGGCAACTACTTTGGCAATGGTGATGGAATCATGTTGCTCGAAACATGTGGGCTTGCCGACAGCATGGACAGTCCCAGCCTCACAAGCTTCCAGACATTCCTTGACGTGCCGAGCGGCGTGAGTACGTTTGCCGAAGGTTCATCAACCCTGTCAGCAATTTCGACAAGCACCAGCTCGGCTGGTGGCATCTATCGCCTTTGTTGGTGTGCGAACGTCACAGTGGAAGCTACGCCTGCAGAATGTGGTGCCGATATAGGCTCACTCTACCTTCTTGGGCCCAGGCCGCTAAAGCAGGATCGGACTTGCATGGCAGGCCTATCATGTGTAATCAATGGCATCACGGGGGTTGGGCTCTCAACTGACGATCGCCTGCTGGTGCTGAACACTTGCAACCTGGGACTCGCACAGAAGCACGCTGAAACGGAGTTTTTCACATCAGCATCAGGCGGATGGCAGGTTGGACTCCAAGGCTCTACGTTTGCGATAGGGACTGATGTCACCCGACCCAGTGGCGGCAGTTACAGGCTCTGTTGGTGCGTTATGCCCTGCACAACGCTCTCACATTACTCGGTGGACATGGGGGAGTTGACCGTCCAAGGTCCCCGGGCTTTGAGGGAACAGCACCGAACTTGTGTTGCAGGGCAGCCTTGCAACCCCAGCCCCATTGAAGGATGGTTTTTGAGTGCTGGAGACCGGTATCTTCTTTTGGACACATGTGGAGAAAATGGCCTGATTCCTGGTGTTCCAGATGCTGGTGGTTTCGCCACTTCCGCGGTTGCCGTCCCCGGAGGGGTCGGTACGGCAATCTCCTTCGTAAGCCTGTCTCTTTCGGCCGTGTCTGCAGCCGGGGGCCTCTATCGGATTTGCTGGTGTGCCGACATGGCATCCTGCGATCAGACGTCAAGCTTTGACGTAGACGTCGGGAAGATGCAGGTCCTGGGACCAAGGCCGCTTCACCAAGACCGAACGTGTGTGTCGGGACAGCCCTGCCTGCTGAATGCTCTCTCCGGAGTTGCGCTCAGTGCAGCGGATCGGTATTACATTCTAGATACATGCGGGTCATCTTCAGTCCCACCAAGATTTGCCGGTGCAGGGGTGGACGATGTCAACTCTTCATTTTCCTTGAGCGAGTCCACTGTCTCGTGGGGGCAAGCATCCGTGACTGCACCTGGAGGTTCCTATCGCATCTGCTGGTGTGCAGCAGGCCAAGTCTGCAGTGCGGCTGAAGACTTCGTGATTGATATGGGTCGTCTTACACTTGTTGGACCGGAACCTCTCACCAGTGGAGCCACATGTGTTGCCGGTCAGACATGTGTAATCAAGGGCATTTCGGGCAACTACCTCAGCCCAGCAGATGCAGGCGTTTTGTTGGACACCTGCGGGCTGCCCGCAAAAACACCAGGCTTGAGCACGAGCATCTCCTTGACCTCCGATGGGACCAGCCTGCGTTTAGAAGGAAGTGCCCCTCAAGGCATCCCAGTCACTGCCCCTGGCGGTGAGTATCGCATTTGCTGGTGCGCTGGTGGCTTCAGCTGCCTGTCGGCCGAGAACTTCATCTCGGACATCGGTCAGCTGAATCTGATTGGCCCCAGCCCGCTGGCTCAGGACCGCACTTGTGTGGCAGGCGGGATCTCAAACTTGCAGGTTGCTTCAGCAAAGGTTTGCTGTACAAGAGAGGGCGCAAGCCACTGCACTGCAGTTACAGCAATGTCAGGTTATGAGTGCAAGATAAACGTCGCCGGCATTCAGCTCAGCCCCCCGGCGAACTTCGAGATGTTGTCTTGGCTAGTGAGGCGGTGGGTGAATTGGGAGCTCTGCTGTCAATTCCGCAAGTCAGCCCTGAAGCTGAGGTGCCTCAGACTCCATCATGGTTCTTGACACCTGTGGAACGTCAGAGGAGCATCCCTACATGCCTACACGTGCTGTCCCAGCATGATGCTGTACCTTCCTTCATGCCCTGGGATCATGACTAGCTTACATTGTGTTGTGCTTGCTGAATGATGATGCTTGGAGGACTTGGGTGTGGTCATCCCGCGATTTCCATTGACACCGCCGCTCATTGCCGAGGAAGCATCGGTTGCCACAACATCCATCTCTGTCGAATGGAACATTGCCGTGACATCATTTGGTGGAGAATTCCGACTCTGCTGGTGCACGGGAAGCCCATGCGAACTTGCGCAGCACTTTGCTGTGGATCTGGGGCGACTCCATCTACTGGGACCGGCCATTGAGCTTGAGCAGGACAGAACATGCATAGCCGGACAGACTTGCAGCATTGACGGCTTCACAGGTGCTTTCCAGGCCACTGACAGATTGATGGTTTTGGACACCTGTGGAGCTTCAGACTGGCCTGCAGGCTTGCCAACTGATGGGAGCTTGTCCGTAAGTCCCAATGATGGCAAAGCCTCATTTGGAAGTATCGTGCTTTCTGCGCAAGGTGGAGAGTACCGGCTTTGTTGGTGTGCAGGAAACTGTGAAATCCCTGGCATTGACATCGGCCGGCTGAGTATATTCGGACCCCGGCCATTGCAGCAGGATCGAACCTGCGTCGCAGGGCAGGAGTGCTTTGCTGATGGCTTGCTTGGGCACGGCTTGAGCTCGTCGGACCGATGGGCAGTACTGAGCACGTGTGGTGCATCCATCGTGGATGGCCTCGTCAATGCTGGTACAATATCGTCCGTGACAAGTAGCGGCACTGCAATTTCTTTCGGTGCGATGGTCGCTACGGCTGGCGGTGGCTCCTACCGACTTTGCTGGTGTGCTGCTGGCGCCGCTTGCAATACTGCAAAGCATTACGGGATAGACGTTGGTGGTTTGACGCTTATCGGGCCAGTCTCTGAATCCACTGAATCCATCAGGACGTGTTTCAGTGGACAGACATGTAGCATTTCGACACCTTTCGGCACCATGCTTTCTGGAGCAGACTCTTACATGATCTTGGAAACCTGTGGCGTCTCTGAACTCATTGAGGGTTTGCCGGACGCCGGCTTTCTTACACTTGCCGCTCTTGGCAACTCCACTTGTGTCGGGGGGGAGTGCGAATTGCATTTTGGCACAACGCTCGTCACAGCTCTTGGTGGCCAATACCGCTTGTGCTGGTGTGCGGCTGACCATGATTGCAGCAGAAAAGAAGACTTCAAAGTCACGGTGGGTCAGTTCGAACTTATAGGCCCACACAGGCTTACCCTCGGGAGAACATGCGTCGCTGGACAAACCTGCGTGGTAGATGGGATTTCGGGCAACGGCCTCGTAGGATTGGACTCGCTGGCACTCCTGGACACCTGCGGAATCCGCGATCTCGTGGCAAACACCCCTGCGATACACCGCAGTTCCGGCGCATCCTATGTGTTCAGCTCACCGATCACTGCTGTCGGAGGCAGGGTCAGAGTCAACCTTCACTACTCTGATGTATGTAAGCTCTGTTGGTGTGCTGTAGTTTCCACGAGGCACCTACCAGCTTTGCTGGGCTTCGGCTTCTGCTGCTTCCAGCGACAGTTCAAGCTACAGCGCCAGGGGCTTACGGAGTCATTAATGGCAGCTCACCTCGGTACTAGTAGGAGACACTTCCTGGGTCATGGCTTTTCCTGATTCTTAGGTCACTCTGGGCAGCATGACTCTCATTGGTCCATTGCCACAGTCGCAGGATAGGACGTGCGTAAGTGGCCAAACCTGCAGATTTGATGGTATTCGTGGAATGCACTTGCAAGATGGTGATCGCTTTATGGCTTTGGAAACCTGCGGCGTGTCATCGTTCATTCCTGGTTTCGGATGGACTGGCGAGGCTGTCGCTGTCTCGAGCAGCGGTTCTTCAGTAACATGGGGCACAGATTCCATCACAGCTGCTGGAGGAAGATATAGCCTGTGTTGGTGTGGGCAACGTCCTGCTCTGGGTGCCCTGACATCCCTTCAAGCTACAGACGCTGCTTGTGGACTCTCAGCAGACTTCAAGGTCTATGTCGGCGAGCTTACCCTGATTGGACCTTCACAAGTATCCGCAGGTGGTTACCAAGCAGCCTCGACTACCCAATCCTGGGGGACACTTTACTTAGAAGAGCGACCAAGACTGGATCCCGAGGTTGGGGCTTTCCAGCGTCGCGAATGTGTTGCCGGACAGAGGTGCGAGATCGTGGGCCTGCGTGGTCTGCACATCAGCGCTGCTGACTCATTTATGATTTTGGAGACATGCGGAATTGCAGCTGCCGTCGACCGCCTTCCGGAGAGCGGTCGAGCCGAAGCTGTCGTAAGCGAGGGTCGGATAGAAGCTTGGAATTTGCCACAGTCACTGCAGCGCGAGCAGCTCGACTTAGTCACTCTCAACTTCACGACACCGCTTACCGCAGCGGGTGGGCAATATCGCATTTGCTGGTGCTCGGAGGTTGCAGACTGTTCAACAGCTGAGCAGCTGCGGGTAGACGTTGGTGCATTCGTTCTTCATGGCCCGCAGCTTGGGCAATCCAGGACTTGCTCGTCAGCACAGAACTGCTGGATCCACGACGTTCTTGGATTCAAGTTGGACATTGACGATCAGCTGATGATCTTGGATACCTGTGGTGTGCCACACGTTGGAGAGATGAACTTCTCCGATGGACATGGTTGGCCGATGCTGGGCCTCATGACGTCGCAGTCACTACGTGGAGTCTTCAAAGATGCCGCAGGAAGCACCACCGCCACCGTGCCAGAAGCGATTATGAGTAAATTTGATTTCAGCGCCGTTCGTGTTACGGCTGGTGGAGGTCAGTACCGCTTATGCTGGTGTGCAGGTGGCTTTGACTGCAGTGGTGGACCAGAGAGCTTTCTGCAAGATCTTGGATTGCTTCAGCTCCAAGGTCCCTATCCACTGCAGCAAGACAGAACCTGCATGAGCGGGCAAATGTGTAGACTGAAAGGCATTGTCGGAGAAGACCTCACGTCACAAGATTTGATTATGATCAGAGATACATGTGGTCTTTTGGCAACAGAGGCAGATCTGATCTCACGCTTTCCCAATGATGGCATCGTGAATAGTGTTGCCACCAGTGGCCAGACTTTCACGTGGCTCCAGGATTCCTCGACGCTCTTCGCCCCAATATCATCTGCCAGTGGAGTTTATCGGCTGTGCTGGTGCAGACCCAAGGGCCTGGCGGAAGTTCTGGAAGGCGAGCGCATCACGTGCGAATTGCCAGAGCACTTTGCGACGGATCTTGGTCAGTTGACACTGCTTGGTCCAGAGCCTTTAAGCCAGGACAGCACTTGTGTCAGTGGCATGCCCTGCATTGTTGCCAATGTCACAGGGCTCTTCTTACAATATGGAGACACACTGCACATTCTTGACACCTGCGGCATCGGGACAGAGGTGTCCGGCATTCCTCAGCGTGGTCTTTCCTTGCCTGGCCTGGGAGGGGGGAGCCGCTTCTCCTGGGGTGATGAGCCTTGGACCACAGCCGGGGGCCAGTTCCGCATGTGCTGGTGTGCTGCGGGATATCTGTGCAAGTTGCAGGAGCACTTCTCCGTTGATATTGGTGCACTGACACTTATCGGCCCGAGTCAGCAGAATCAAGTCTACTGCGCTTCTGGCTCCCCGTGCTGGGGTTGGATCGTGGGAGTTCATCTAAACCCCAATGACCAGATCATGGTCGCAGACGAATGTGGTGCCCCAGTGCAGCCCTGGCCATCTCCTCGCAGCCGGTATCCCGAGATTCCTGGATTCCCCGATGGCGGACGGTTGCCTTTGCAGGCTTACGTCGGCGACACGTTCCAGTTCAGCTTCTCTGCAGAGTTGATCACAGCCGCAGGCAGGGTTTCGCTTTGAGTCTAGCAGTCCTTAGCTATTCTGCGAAGCATACGTCGAGAATGCAAGCAGCTAGCGATGTGTTGTTACGTGAACAGGTGGCATCTACAAGCTCTGCTGGTGCGCCGGGGATGTCAACCCGAACGGCTGCGCTACGTCAGAGGATTTCAAGACAGAGGCAGGAGCACAATGCAAGTCATGCGAGCATGCGGGAGTGTAATGCAGAAGTGACCCAGCATAACAGTACAACAGTACAGTGGGTGCGTGTGTTCAGTTGATTGTGGTCCTAAGACGCTTTCCTAAGCGCTTTGAGTAGGCGGGGTCCTTCATCCTGGTGGGCCCCTCCGAGTACTTGGCAGACTTCTTCATCCCAACATCAATTGGGCCACAGCAGCCGAAGGAAATTTGGCGTCAGGATGTACCAGATCCAAGCGTGGTTTCGATTGAAGAGTACGGCGGGAGTCTTGCCATCCACTGCTCCGTGAATTCTGAGCTTGGCTCGGCAAGAGGCAATATGCCGATATTGTATGTAGACTCTCCACCGTCCGGTCTCTGGGAGGCGCGTGTCGAGGTGCGTGTTGCTGCTTCTGATGTTGCAGCTGGCTTCACTGTTTACGACAGAGATGGGGACAAACCAGACCTCCTGTTCGGTTTTGACAAGTTCAGTTCACGAGGATTCGGCGCATCTGGCGGAATTGCAGCTCTGCGCTACGGCACGGCCGGCCTTTCCGGAACGATTGGACTGCAAGATTTAGGCTCTCTTGGGGTAGAATGGGTCTCCCTGAAGATCGAGCGGACCGGCAACGGCCGCTACGACTTGTGGTACAACTACAAGCTAGGCTCCGAGGTTTGGTTGGCACCGGATGACGCCACAGACTCGGATCCCAGCATCAGGCAGAGAGTCTTCGTGAAGACTGCTGGCGAACCTGGCGATCGCCTGTTTCTCGAGACGGAGTGGAGGCTTCTGGCGGAGCAGGTTGAGAGTAATTCTGCTGGTCGACGGATCGGCTTGTATGTGTCGACTGGAAGCCTAGGCGGAGCAGCCAAGTTCAGGACGTTCTTGGTGCGCAATCTTTTCCCTCAAAGTGTTGCATCTTACGGCCTTGATGAGGGAAATCTCCGGGAGTCTCTAGACTCGGTCGGAACACCTGTCACAGAGGCCTCAGTTGCCGTGGGACGGGACGGCTACAACCAGGGAGCCCTGCGCTTTAGTGATGACAGCAGTCTTGCATTGCCTGTTGATCCGCTCGGAACTGATGCTTCGTCAAACGGGTCCTTACATGAGTTCACCGTTTCCATATGGGTGAAGCCGCATTCTGCATCTGAGGGTGGTATCCTTGGTCGGAGGTTGGCGCATCTTCCTGACTTGGAGATATCCCCATCGATCTCTATGACTTCGGATAGGAGTGTCGTATGGACAATGTACGATGAGCTAGGCCAAAATTATTCACAGCAGTATTATACTCCACGAGATCGCCCTTATGCGCCAGTGTTGCCAAGCTCAGCTGGCACCTCGCTGACACAGGTTCTAGAGGTCGATGAGTGGACACATCTGGCTTTCGTCAAGCAAGCAGACACCGTCATGTTCTACCGCAATGGGCAACGCTGGGGCTTTTCGACTCTCGCACCCGATTCTCAAAGCAACGTCTACGGTCAAATTTACTTGAACTTCCTGCAAGATCTGCCCTTACATGCCTCCATCGATGATGTGAGGTTCTACGATGTTGGCCTGGCAGACTTTGCGGTTGAACACCTCTTTGGCAATGCAGATGTTGACACGCTCCGTTCAAAGTCTCAACGCTGCTTTGCCGGGGCTCCCTGTGAGCTTGCTGGCTTGGTGGGAGAAGGTCTTTCAGACTTGAACAAATATGCCGTGCTGACTCATTGTGGACGCAGTCCTGCCGTAAGTGGCATGCCAAATGATGGCATTTCTGATTTCGGGACTACTCAGAGAGTCTATTGGGACTTTGCAACAGACGAGCCGCTGACAGCCGGAGGTGGATACTACAAGATTTGTTGGTGCGGAGGCGGCTCGGCCTGCGCGGTGCCAGAAGACTTCAAAGTTCTTGTTGGAACTCTAGTGGTGGTGGGGCCCTATCTGGGACAGGAGCGCACTTGCACTCTTGGCCAAGTCGCTGCATTCGACATTACTGGTGTAGAGCTGGATGCTGGCGATCAGTTGCAGATCCTAGATACGTGTGGCTTTAATTTAACGACACCTGGTGTTCCGCAAGATGCGGTTTCGGATCTGCAGCCTTCGTCCTGTTATGGACATGTGGGTCTTGGAGTGGTTGATGCCCTGGCAGCCCATGGATCTGGTCTGACAGGAAAGACTCAAAGTGAATGCTGCACTCTGTGTCAGCGGAGCCTGTACTCCGACTGTGTTATTTGGGTGTACAGGCCAAGTGACATGACTTGTTTCTTGTATCGCTCTGTGGCACGGGTTGAGCGTCAAGAAGATCGTGTGTTGGGTGTTGTGAACGAATGGGCTACGGTGCCGAACCAACTTCTTATGGCGACAGTACTGACTGGCCCACGCAATGGCGCTAATTCTACAGGCCCCTTCCGATTGTACGTGTGCCGCTCGAATCAGGAGTGTTTGTTCACCACTGCCTTGGAATTGACTGACCTGGACGTTGGGTATCAGACCTTCCAAACGGCAGTTCTGTGGCCCACTGATTGGGACTGGAGTGGTATCAAAATCTTTGCAGACACCGAAGATCGCTGGTTCCTTGAAAGCTTGGTGGTATCAGCGCTGGGTGTTTCGGGGAACTTTACCTACAGCGGATGGCTCGAGTCGGGTGCGGAGGTCTTCCTCACA